AGAGTACTGCCGGTGTCACGTGATGGGGATCGCAAAGTGAACAGAGCTTGAGTCTTGCAGGCGGGTTTCCAATAGGCAGTGGGTATCGATCGAGATGGTCTAATGTTCGGTCAAGTGCTGCCTGTTGACCGACTTGTAACAACGTGCCTACATTGAGGCATGCCAATCTGAGGGAGAATCGGGGGCTCCAGATAGAAGCCGATGAACTGGGCGTGACAGCTTGGTTAGACATGGGCTTGTCGATAGAGCAAGAGTGACGCTCCGCGTTTGCAGGTGAGTTGAAAGCAGAATGTAGACATCTAACAAAGCAACGTGGGGGGGGGCAAAGAATTGGGGGGTTGAAAAGGAGTGGAGAAAGAGGAAGTTGGAACGGGACGATAAGTGTGAAAAAGCTTAAGAGGGGGATCATAAGACGAGAAGTAGCACCAAACCCCCTATCTACCCTGTTCGATTATTTATTATCCTCTGCGACGGCCAGAAAAATAAATCAGTGGGAGAGTAATTCATAATACTGCGCAGGCAGGATACCGTCAGGTTGCCAACGCCTAGACAGAAGAACGATTAGGGCTCTCAACCAAAGCCATCGTTTCAAAAATCTGACCGCAAATCAGCGGATTTGGCAGTGGGCCACAAAGAGTCCGTTTTAAGGAATAAGGAGCCACCTTCAATCTAACCCACAAGATGGAGACTGAGTTTGTCTGGCTTCTAACCATTGATCAATCTGGTATGAGTGGCTCTGAAGGTGCAAAAGTACCACTCAGCGTAACTCAATGGATCGCTGAGGCATGCAAACCATCGCACAACGTAAGGTTTAGCCTCATTGCGATGAATGTTGGCTGTGCATTCGGACTTGAGTCTAAACTTTCTACTTAGCTCCTGTTTTAAAGGGCAAAGGTGGTTTACTGCGGTACAGATTACGTCTTGGTAGGAGGCTGTTTGAAGAAGAAGAAGAAGAAGAAGAAGAGAAACGAGCTGAGATAGGAAGTATCTCAGGTGACTTGGTGCGCGTAAGCGGCTTTTATATGCGGACAGGGCATGGACATTGCGATGCGTGTTTTTTTCTGGCCAACAGCATCAACGGCGGTGGAGTCTTCATGGCTAACAGTAATCTATTCTCGAGCCGGTTGGCAGCGGAACCGAAAACACACGGACTTGTGAAACTACACCACATTCACACCTCAGTGAACACACAGACTCCAAACCGTGTGGCCGATTGGGATGTAATGTATCTACGAACACATATAAAAGCGAACACTCGCAACGGATATTGCTCCCAAACACGCACTGATGATAGCTCACGAAAAGCTTGCGATAAAAAACTGTTAAGCCAGACGAGGGAAACGGCCCAAGGACAAGGTTTCACACACATAGCTCGAAGCAGCGAGTGTCGGCCTGAGTCATGATCCCAGGCTCCACATTGCCAGAAGTACAGTCCAACCTTCTATGGCGACGAGCCAGAAACATACCCAACGTTTTCTCCTACGAGTAACATCCCTGGGCATGAATTTGTCCAAGGCGATCACTTTGTGTCGGTCCCTTGAGTGGTCCACTTAGGTTTGATTGTAGTAGAGTGTACATGTTGAAGGTGTCGTTAATCCAATGAAGTTGATAGAATCATGGATCGTAATGCATGAGATGTATAGTGGACATCAATGCTGTGAGTTATTCCATCTTTATCAGGGTTACACGCTGGAGATCGCTGGCAAGAATAGAACGGAGTGGTAGTTGTCACGAGGTGAGAGCTAGTGCACAAGATTCGGGTGTGATGAAAAGGTCGTCCCAGTACTTGTATGTGTGTGTGTCCAGCGTATACTTAACAGACCTGCACAGTGAAGAGGAGAAGTATTTGCAGGGGAAAAGTGTGGGGCAGGCAGCAACAGCGATAAGCTTTCGTCAACGCAGCTAGCTTGTTTTGCGAACTGCAAAACGATGTCCTACTGAAACCGATTGACCGTGAATACAACCCGATACTGCCTCTCCTGGGGAAGACAATGGTGGTGAGGATTGTGGCATGCTAGAATATACTTCCAACCGACTTAGATGTCGAGAGTTCTGAATGTTTGGAAACCAATCAGCCACGGTACTTGACTGGCGGGATTTCATTTTGATCGCAAAAATTGCACCAGGCAAAGTCAAACAGCGCACAGTTTGCATGATGTTCGGCAGCAGACGTGAGCAAAGAACTTGTTAAAAAGATGTTGATCAAAGAGCAAGTGCGGTTGCATATCCAGCTGTCATCTCAGGTGATCTAGTGACTAACTAAACATTGTGCTGAAACCTAACACTGATCGTGGTGATTGCGATGTTAACGGCTTATGACAAAGCAAGGGCTATCCATTCATGCTTATGAAACTGGCAAGATTAGGAGGTCAATCGTCAAGTATTCAACAGTCTCACCCCGCCCAATTTGCGTAATTGTAGGATTTGACAAATTGCGTTAGCTTAGAAATTAGTGTTTGTGCTGTTGACTGTAACCTTTTTCTGATAATTTCAACATAATCCAAGCAGATTCCTTGCCGTGTCAAGTGCGCACGCTGCTCCTGCCAAGTTCTTCAGTAGAGCCTCATCTTTGGGCTAGTTCCTTTACAGTCGTGACATGCGTCTACTAAGCCATCTTTCTGGCAGTATGGATTAGGTCCACAATTGTGTACAGCCTTTAAGCTGATTTTATAGCTGCAGTTGGTTGCGTATCCAAGGAAGGACAGGCCCATCAAACTCGCTAGCGTTTAGTCCTCTCAGTAAACTACACCGGTATTTCTGAACTCAGTGCCAACCGAGGCACCTTCGAGACGCCTTATTGATGTAGAATGTCCAATGTAACCGCTGGTCCCTGACGACATGCAAGTTTCACGAACCGGTTGGGATATATGTTGTCAAGCAAGTCTCTTATGGTCTTTCCTTAAGTGACTATTATATCCTCCTGACCAAGTCTTAGCGTTAAAAGTAAAACGTCATTATTCATTAGACAAGCCAACTCGACAAAAAACCATCGTGTCAAGTTTTGTTCGAGGAAACCACTAGCTTAGTGATCGAGGGATCTGTCGCTAACCATGATGTGCCGGAGTTTAGTTTAAGCACTGACTACAGTTGCCTGATGAGGCTAAGCAAGGACGAAACCGATTGTTGGAACTGCAGCATTCGGGAGGAGCAACAACTAAAACTGAGCACTCCAGATGCAGTCCTAGTGATCGGAATGACAGAGATCCAAACTGTGATGGCGTATCGTAATCATAACACACACACTGCGTGCTTCGAAATGCAACAAGGAGTACTAACCGAATTTCTTCGGAATTTTCTGTAATAAGGATTTCTTGACAAATCCTAAATATATTACAAGATATTGAATACGAGACGAGACCACATGTCATAAAGTTTGTAACTTTGTATGATCCGTGGACACTGGGGTAAATATGGAAAATCATATGGTGTCTAACAGAAAGCGCTTCAAGAATAGCGTCATGTTCCCATCGCCCATCACAGGGTAGTTGGAAGATTTCGACAAGGATAGCCCTTAAAGCGAACAGATGATTCCTGAGAAAGCGAATCTATCTGACAACCGGGTGCTTCGCGCGAGTCGACTGATTCTGGGGTTACATACTGTCGTGATAAGGGGGACTGATTATGTTAGACTCTTCAACTAGTTCGGATGTCTAAAAATGGTAAATTCGGCGGTCACATCAACAGTAGCTCCTGTGGTGTAGTCAAAAGATCATATACAGCATTGAGTATAATTAGGTTTAGGTGTGAATTTCACCATCAATACGTTCTAAGACAACATTAAAGGTGATGGTTTCCAGGGTTGAAGCCGCAGTTGATCATTGAGGGGAAGCAGAGAAGATCCGTACACAGTGAGCAAATACGACCGAATGGGGACGGAGGATGAGACTGAAATTCGCACCAATCAAATGCATCGTATTAAGGGCTCTGAAGGAACCAAGGTCGACAAAGACAAAGCAACGGTGGGATTGTATGAAGCAAACTGGTTGAAAGAATGCAGAGGCACTTGAAAATAGGACTTTATCTATGTGATAGTGAATAAAGTAGGGAAAGTGAGTATGTGAAAGACAACTTGGAGCAGGACGAGATTAAAATCTATAGGGAGAAATTCGGTTACGGAGCCTGGTGATAAAGTGGTCAGCTTTTATAGTATTCTGCTGTTCGCTAGAGCACCTAAAGGTGAGACATCAGAATAAGCAAAAAGCTGCCTATTTGTGAACAAGCAGATCTTACAATTAAGGAAACAGACAGGCTGTATGTCATTTTTCAATGAAGAATACACACTCAAGAACAGGGCTCTGTTCTGGGATTTTCAATACTTTCCACGTCGAGGAATATTTGCTTGGAAGACTTTGGGAAGGGGTAGTCGAATGTTGACAATCTTCCGGGAGTAGGGTGGGGTGATACGGATGAGACGGTTGTAATTACCTGAGAACGAAGTATTCAAGCGTAGGCCTGGTGGTGCTTGTGTGGTTGCCGTCTATGTACGGACCAGCGTAGTCCAACGGTAATCAAAGGCGCACCGAAAACACAACACGAAAATAGCATATAGACTAATGTGGTGCAATTGCGAATCCAGTAGATTGTTGTTGAGTGGCTACAAGGTCATTGCCGATAGTCGTGGCATTCCGTTAAGCCGGTTGAACTTTACTGAATTTGACCTCAACGGTTGATTTTTTTATTGTCATGCCATTTCCGTCTAGCTTTGCTCAGAGTAGACCGAACAATGGCGCTGCAGTGTTCCAGTCAAAGCCGATAACCTAATGTGGAATGATTCGCGACAGATTCGCTGGCTGACAAACTGACAGATAGTTTGATTAATCTTACTACGCATCCATTAATCCACACCGAGTCCTTCGGTGTGGCAATGATAAAAGGAGAAAGCGACTGAGATTCCAAAAATTAGACAAAATCACGATAACCAAGGTGAAACAACGTGAAACATTTTGCGAGTCATGAAAGCACCGATAAAGGAGCAAACTGTCGAGACGACAAGAGTGTTGTCAAAATGACCGACCTGCTAAGGCCCCAGAGCATGCATACGTAGCCAATGCGCACGTCATCAAGGCGCCACGGTTTGCGGGGCTGAGAAAACCCAAACAGGCGAAGAATAGAGTGGACAGAAGCATGAGAAACAGTTGGCTTCCAGAACCCAGATAGACTGATAAGAGCATGCCCCAAGTGGGTGGACGAAAGACATCTCCGTGAACTAATTTCCAGCCCGACTCTTCCTGAACATCCGACTAGAATTAAAGTTGGGAGGAAGAGATGAAAACTGAGACAATTCGGACAGTGAGCGATAGTATACACGAAGTCGATAGAAGGCTAGGAGCGATTCGAATGGCAGATATGACAACAGAGACAAAATGCAACGATCGTTCAGATGGCCTCAGAGAAACGGACCAGACGTGAGTCGCTGCTGGTATAAATATCAGCTCGGAAAACCTTAACTAAGTTCTGAGATATGAGCGGACGATCCCATTGGTAAGACACAGAGGACAGAAAATAAAATCCACCATTCTTGAGTCCTAAAAACAGCAAATAAGATGTCGACAAATTTTCATCAATGCATTGGGATGTGCTCATCCGAAACTGGAGGACAGTGTGAGGAATACCGGTGGGAGTGAACCAACAGACTGCGTGTTTAGGCGGCAAACAAAATACTTAAAACAGGTGTGACGCGTACTGAAATTTAAGTACCTTGAACTGATAGCAAATAATAATCGGAGTAGAGACCACTGTTGAAGATACTCTTATACAGATTAAGGACAAGAACTTCGTGTGCGGCACTTATTCTCTCATGAATATGAAATATCAAGGACGACCTAAAACTAGTAAAATTTGAACAGGTAAGTATCTGTGTTGGCTTGAAACCAAACACAGCAATTAGGAAGTGCTGTGAAGCGAAGTCGCAAAAATAGACCGGTGACGGCAAAACGAGTGTCATTATTTCAAATTGGAGAAATGCAAAGATATATCGTTTTCATAGGACTCATAAGATTTCATGGCTCGATTTAAAACTGGAGTCCACATGGCGTGCTAAAAGTTATTGAAGAGCAAATATGCGATCGATGCAACCACGGCCAAGGTTCTGGCTGGTTCACCTAGGTAGACATCAGTGAATAAACTCAAATTGTCTCGCGTGTGAACTGGAGAAGCAAAGAGGGATAGTCAGCGCTTCAATTAGACAGCGGCAAGGCTAAGATTACGACCTGACTAAGTCACAAGTGCGACTGACCGCAAACAACCATACACAAATCTACAGTTTAGTAAGAGCAGATGTGTGAACAATCCAAGTGGTCATCGGCTTTCGTGTTAGCAAGCAAAAAAGAGTTGGGTTTGTCAGCTTTGGTCGGAGTGCCGAGATGCGGTGGATCAAGTACCTTTGACACAAGTCGCCAAAATAATAAAAATAGTACAATAAAAGTCAAGGCTTAGAAGCACTGACTGGAATAGCCGACGGTTGTGAATGAGGGAAGATGCAAGCGCGCCACTCACAACCCGTGACCGTTGCTACAAGAGGTGCGCCCAACCAAGCACTGATGTGGGGCCGGTCCCGAGGAATCCATCCGGGAAGATGAGTAGCAGCAATTCGAACCATGGTTACAGAGAGTTTGCTCATTGTCTTTTGCAGTGCCAGCGACAGGCCACCTAGGGGCTTGGCTCAGTGAAATAGCGCTCGCCGAGGCAGTCGTGTTGTAGGTATGCGGGTTTGAGTATAGAAAATCAGAGACAAGGAATAAAGTCAAGACGGTAACAGCAATGTTGCATTCACACTACCATTTTCAATCCTTTCCGAGTGACTTCGCTTTCGTTTGTCCCCATGGTGACGTGAATGAAAACAACCGGATTCGCCACGGTTTGATTTTGAATCTCGATCTAGGAAATAGGCTGAACCGATTTGTTGGCTAAGTCACAGTAATGAATAGAGAGTTAGTTGCTCAAGTGAGGCTAAGATCAGCTGGCATGCAAAACAACCCCGATAGAAAATACTCAGAAAAGAGCAATCGGGACGACATGGAAGCCACAAAACTAACCGAATTTTCCAATTGACTGTAACGGGTGATGTCACGGCGGAGTGTGCGCAGAAGAATGGTGGCAACTAGACCCGATAGGAACAAGACCAAAACAACTGAGTTGAGGATAGAAATCCAATGAATGTTGCTTTGGGGCATCCCTTCGAGGATGTAATCCCATCTGGAGGCCCATTTTATGTTGCTCGGCTGGAAAGTCAAGTGACAATGAGGTGTGAACGGATGGAATAAAAACTACATAATGTGGTCAAATTAAATACGTGAGAACTGGCCTGATACATCGAGAATTCTTGCCATAGACACACTCAGTGAGATTGCAGCAGATTGTATAACAAATAATCAAGAGTACCGGTGAAAGCCGGAGGAAAAACTAACGCTACATGTGGGCTATTCGAAATACATGAACAATAATAGATAAATGGAAACGGTGCATATTATGAGGGTTTTTGTTGCGTTTGAGATTTTGAAAAGTGGAGCAATGCCAATGGTGAGGGAGTCAGAACAATCCGCAGATCACGCAGCCTCTGTGCAGATGAAGGACTCAAGTAGGTTCAGTCTAAAAACAAAGTTGTCGCTTTCTAAACAGCTGTGGAGGCAGTAAAGGGGTCGGTGGTCTCGCAACAGATCAGCAACAGAGACAAATTAGCACCTCATACAAGTGACCTGTTACCACGAAGGCTTAGATTAAAGGATGATCCTAGTGGTAAGAAGTAAAAAGAGATGAATGGAATACCCAGTGTGTGGGACTCGAATGCGTTGCCAATAATCCTTGGTGGTGTTGAGAAAAACGCATCGTACGTTTCCATTACACCGCTTTACACTCCACTTGTACTCAATAAACAGCTCATAAGTGCATGCATGTTACACAGGCGAGAAGGATAGGAGGCGGGAGCTTCCGGTGAGTTAACTAATTTCATATACAAAATGGGGTTCACTATTGGCCAAGCATAAGTTGGAGATTTACAAATGATCAGATGAAAGTACCACTTATGCGCCGGTCATCTCAGCAGGTTGACACAATGAACGTGATGAACGTAGGAAAAGTGGCTGCACAAAAGGTGGGAAAGTGTCGGAACGAACATCATATCACTGGAACCATAGATGGGGCCTGGCGATCGTGTAGTTAAAGTGTGGCGACGTAATGATTGATGCAAACCGAGCATAAAATGGAGGCAAAAAGTAAAGCGGATAAGCTTACTATTGGCTATTGCAATCAGGGGCTATACACAAATGATGCGATTGCAATAAATCATACATGCCGTTTAAACTAGTGAGCGCATAACATCGGTTAAGATAGTTTCATGGAACAATGAGTGGGAAAAGTACACAAACAGTCGAGTCGTTATGTGACTAAACCTCCTAATCTTTGACCACAACAGCAGAGCGGCATTAGGTCAGTATTCCACATTGGTGCAATGCTGCGATAATAACACAGTGAGACGATGAATGAACAGAACTTGATGCGGTGAGCGAAAAAGCGGATCGAGATCCAATCACACATTGCATACTGAAAAACAACGATATGGTTGGCGGCATCCGGTTTCGGATTTGCCTGTCACTGTGGCCAGCCACAGGATGTCTGCGCCTGCAGAAGGACCATGGGTGGCTTGCGCTGCGCAACTCACAGCTCCAACCACACACCCCATATCCAGTGTAAACCTGAAGGAATAAGACCGGGAGACATGTGGATGGGAGCCAAGTTTCATCAACGAAGCCGGCCCACACTCCTTCACAGGCAAACACAAGCATGCTGTAATTGGGAATCAATCGCACACAAGGCGGTGGCTGGACCGTAGTCCGCTCCACACTGAGTGCATGGAACCACTCTTCGAGCCTAACACGGCCACAAGGACCGTGCACCCCGTCCCCTCCAGCGACGCCCAACCGTCTCCTGGAGCCAGTATGGACGAGGTAGTGGGTAATAGACAGGTAGGCGCCTTGTCAACATGCACATCAAGCGCAGCCACACCGGGGATATCAAGCAATAGCCAATCACTTGAAACGACAAGATCAAATAAAATAAATCGAATAATGCATACAGACATGTTGACACAACTCTTCACTAAATCAGCGTATGAAATAAATTAGTTGCAAAAATTCCGCGAAAGGTTCAATACGTCAGAAAATATATTTTAAGAAAATGTCACAACCGCGAAACTGTTATCGAAGTTAACTACAATTAGCTTAAGCGAGGCGAGCAAGTTTACAGAAGATAGTTCAAGTAGACTTAATATAGAAAAAAGCATTGGGACAATATAAAATTTGTCAGCTGCACGCCGTAATGGCGTTTCGCTGCCGCGCGACCACCATTAGTCGCACGCGGGCTGAGTATACCGCGATGACGCCCACCCCTACACGGATTGGGACAATATAACAGACCCAACACCTGAAATCAAGAGACTCAGCATGTAAGGAAGCGGTTAGTAAATCGAATACAGCGTACCTACCAACGCTGCGCCGGTTCTGCCAACGCTCTCAGCAGGACTCGTCGTCGTTTCAGTGTTGGTCCCGAGTGCCCTCGCTCATGACTCACTAGGTCTGCCTGACTCAGACACTCGCGACCGCATGCGCTACAGCACCATGCGCTTGATATCGATGGAGTACACAACCTATCGGCGCCTGTCGCTTCATTTCTGCATGCAAGAGGCATATCTCTTGCACCTCGGCAACTGCTTTCGTGATCGGATCGCGCCGTTCACCCCGGTCAACCGCCTTCGATTCTGATGGCCTGCAATCAAGATTGGTACGTGAGAGGCGCACTTTGATCATTTCCTCGAAAGGAAGCTTCCATTTCCCCAAATGCCGCTTCCCAACACTCAGCTTACCCTATAACAACTGCCTCAGTATCCGCGTCGAATCTACACGAGTCACATGACCGAGCCACCTCAGGTGTCTCAGCTAAAGCATGCAGTCCAATGAATACATTCCATTTCGGCGCAACACTTCCGTGTCCGCTACTCCGTCGCACCAACCAATCCGTCGCAAACACTGTTTATAGAACCGCTCGAGATATAGCACATCCCGCCGGTACATCGTCCACGTTTCACTGCTGTATAGAAGAACGAAAAGAACCATGGATTTGTACACCATCAGCTTTGTGCCAATGCTAAGCTGATGGTTGTTCCACACTCGGTACTCAAGCTTCCCGAATGCCGCTGCTGCCTTCGAGACGTGGATACGCAACTCATTGAGTAGCTGCTGATCAGTCGACATCACACTACCAAGGTAGCTGAAGCGGAAGGTGGTTTCCAATACTTCAGCACCAATGCTAATTTGTGGCATTATTGAAGATTGCACCTCCGGTGAAGGCTGAAAGAGACAGACAGTTTTGCTCGTGTTGATGGTGAGCCTGAATTTGGTCGCTGTCGAAGCCAGAGCACTAGTCATGTGCTGCAACTCATCCGCGCTGTGTGAAAACAACGCACAGTCATCAGCAAACAGCAACATACGGATAGTTGGCTCACAGACTAGGGTTCTCGCACCGAAACAACGGATGTACAACAACACATCATCAATACGGTGCCCCACACGAACACCGTAAGCACAAGCCGCATCAAAAGCACAAGACATGATTGTATGAAGATAACTATTAAACAGGGCAGGAGTTAAGACACAGCCTTGGTTCACGCGAGAGATAACTGTAAAGTCATCAGAGGTCTCTCCACTCAGCTGCACCCTCGCCCGCATATCACTGTGCAGACATTCAATTAAACTTACAAGATTACTCAACGAACCAAACTTACCTAACACCAGCCACAATGCCTCACGGTTCACTGTATCAAATGCCTTGGTTAAAGCAACAAAAAGCGAGTACAATGGCTGGTGTCGTTCTCTGCACTTTTCCTGCAACTGACGAGCCGCGACCCGAACGGAATCCGCACTGCTCTTCCGCCAAGTTCGGTTCTACCACCTGACTGCTGAGGAGATTGAGCAGGATTCGGGCAATCACCTTGCCCACACAACTCAGCAAGCTGATGCCATGATAAATCGTGAAACATTGCTTGCTCCCTTTTCCCTTGTACAGTGGTAGCACAAGCGCATGCTTCAACTCAGGAGGCATCTCCTCTTCAATCCACACGCGTTGCACCAAGTGGTGCAGCGCAGTCAACAACGCGGGTCCGCCGTGTTTCAATGCTGCAGGCGGGGTCCCGTCGGCACCGGCACACTTGCCCTTTTCGCAGCTGAGAAAGTGCTCTCTGCGTCTCATCCAGTTTCGGCGTGTCCGCCAGACTCGCCTTCACAATGTGCCGCTTCAGGCCGTTCAAAGTAGGCCACTCGAACTCTGAAGGGTTGTTAAATAGATAGTCAAAGTACTTTTGCCAGATCTACATTATGTCTGCAGTCTGGGTGCAGGTAGCGCCTGAATTACCATCGATCAGCGTCCTCAGCGGCTCCAATCTCGGTCCATTCACCACCTTCAAGGAGTCAAAGAATTCCTTGGGTTGGCGCCGTTCGGCGTAGCATTCCATCTGCTTCGCCTTCTCTGGCCACCATGCATTTTTAATAAGACGGAGCTCTCGGGTCAGTCGCCGTCGAAGTTTGCGAAACTGACTCTTCTTCCCCAAGTCACTGGGGTCTGCGACATGTGCAGCAAATGCTGCATTCTTCTCTGACACCAAAGCGCCAATCGCCGCATTGTTCACATCAAACCAGTCAGGCCGCTTAAAGTTTTCGCGCCTGATGGTCTCCTCAGCAGCAGCTGCTCCCTAGTAGCGAATGTGATGATACAGTTCGCCCACTGTGGCTATGCCTTCCACATCACACAGGCGTGCAGCCATCGCCTTCTCCAGCTCAGTACGTTTCGCCACAGTACCGAGGGAGAGAATGTTAAATTTACGCCGATTCACTGCAGGAGTGCAATATATAGATTTACGAAAATATATGTACAGTTTGGTCCTCACCAATTTGTGATCAGTGCCACACTCAGCTCCAAGCAATACACGTGTCATGCGCAGTTCGAGCATGTCATGCGGACGTACGATGACATAGTCGAGCAGGTGAGCGTGACCACTCCGTGGGTGCGTCCAAGTTGCTATATCACCGCACTCAGTGCAAACCGACTGTTCGTGATCGTCAGGCCTGTCACCGTTCGCATTCGCTGAACCAATGTCATGCGGACCGATGACATCTGTCCACACCGATGCATCATGCCCAACGCGCGCGTTGAAATCACCCAGCAGAAATAATCG